CCTGAGCTGCCAGCTAGCCTCAGAGAGCCAGGCGGGAGGCACACTCAAACCAACCCTGACACCCAGCAAGGGCTCAAAGCTTGCAGAAGCCTCAGGACTGGAAAAGGATGTGCCTGGGCTGGGGGTGGTGTGGGGAGCAACCGGACTAGACTGAGTTACTGGAATTAAGACTTATTCTATGCATCTGCTCTCCCACAATATGGCGCTGGGAGAGAAGTAAACAGCTTCCGCACAGCTGCCTCCAGTTCAACCAATAAACTGTAGGACTTGCTCCTGATTGGAGAGCAGCGTACTCGGCGTGTGGGCAGCCGAGTTGTGATTGGCGGAGGAGGACTATAAAGGAGGAGAGAGACGGCATGCACCAGGAACATCTATGGGGAACATCTAAGGGAACCCGTGCAGACCCCGAGAAAGCCGGCCGGCGGTGTGCCGCTCCCCTGCGGAAGTGGGGAATGCGGCCAGGGGGAACCGCCCTTCCACGGAGGTGGAAGGGATAGTAGCCAACCCGGGAAGAACCAGCGGCAAGCCCGGGGAGGGCCGAGCAGACGAAAGAACAGCGCAGGGTTTAGTGTCGTTCCCCCACGAAGAGGGGGAGCGACATAATGGTGCCGTGACTCGGACATGAAGCCTAGGCAGGGTTTAGTGTCGTTCCTCCATGAAGAGGGGGAGCGACAGGTGGGGCTTCCTGCTGGCAGCCTGAGGCAGCCAGACTGCTCTTACTGCACCTGGGCAGCAGAGGGCCTTGTGCCATCTCCAGCCCCTGAGACTGGCGACACCCACAGCGGCCAGGCTTCTGAGCTGGATGTGAGAAAAGCAAACAGGCAGCATGGCTGTGTCCTCCCGCAGTAGCATCACCTGTTCCTGTCTGTTGCAGACGGAATCATGTCCCCCCAGACGTGAAGTTCCTCTGACCGTGACCTTGTTTGGAGATGGTGTCTTGGCAATGCAATCAAATCACAATGGGGTCATTCGTGGGCCGTAATCCACTTCCACTACGCTTGGTGTCCTAAGAGGTAGAGGTGGGGGCGGCATTTGGTGTGGTGGTTGATTTGTCACTTGGGATGTGGACATCACAAAGCAATTATTTTTTAAGATTTATTTATTTCAAAGTCACTTACACAGAGAGAGAAGAAGAGGCAGAGAGAGAGAGAGGTTTTCCATCCACTGGTTTACTCCTCAGTTGGCATAACAGCTGGAGCTGCGCCAATCTGAAGCCAGGAGCCAGGAGCTTCTTCTGGGTCTCCCAAGTGGGTACAGGAGCCCAAGCACTTGGGCCATCATCTACTGCTTACCCAAGCCATAGCAGAGAGCTGGATCAAAAGTGGAGCAGCTGGGACTCGAACTGGTGCCCATATGTTATGCCAGCACTGCAGGTGACATTGGCTTTACCTGCTGTGCCAAATGGCCAACTCTCAGGCAGACAGTGAAACTCCACAGTTTCATGTGAATGGCTAATGGACTTACGTCAGTAGATTCAGAATGGAGATAAAATCTAATTATGGTGTTGGGAGGTCGTCAGGTCACTGGGGACGTGGCCCGGGAAGAGAGTTCTCACAAGAGGGTGGGTTATGGAAGACAGGTGCACCCCTGTCAGTCTCTCTCTGCTTCTTGCTGGCCATGGGAACGACCTTCTGTCATCTGCCGGCCTCCGGCCTCATCAGATGCCTGAACCAATGTAGCTGCTTGTTCTTGTCTGTGCACCTGTCAACTATAAACCCAAACAAACCTCTCCCTTCCTGAAAAGTTCCCAACAGGTCTTTAGCTAAAGGAGCTGAGAGCTGACTTGGGCAGCCCAGAGCTGCTCTGGCTTTGTGACACAAGCTCTGGTGCCTCCTCCCCGTCTCTTCCCCGACACCGCGGTCTCCAGGTTGCTTTAGGGACCTCTGGGCTCCTCCAGGAACCTGGGCTTCTCTGTCCTTGCTCTGTTCTCCCTGGATGCACCTGTTGGTTTGTGTGTCCACATTCTGCCTTTCAAAGAAATAAAAATAAATCTTTAAAACCAAATAACTCAGTGTGGAAAGACAGAAAAGAAAAAAAAACAGGAAGGGAGAGATAGAGAAGGAAGAGGAAGGAAGGAGAGGGGGAGACAGAGGGAAGTCCATCCTGAGGTCTCACGGACTGGGCCCCCGGGACCCCGGGAGTTACCCAGCAGCCAAGGCCCACACACGCCGGAAGGAGCTTCTGGTAGGACACAGGGCAGGCCGTTTCGGCAGGAGTGGGTGGAGGCGGGGGCCCGGATGCTGTTTTCTCTGGCCAGTGGGCAGTGGCCACCAGGCAGGCTGGGGACACCAGGGAGAGGTAGGGACACCAAAAGCAGCAGACAGGGCCCTTCCTGACCTTGGATGGACTCTTCTTGAGCACTTGCTGTATGAAACGCCCCTTGGTGGGCCTGGGGGAAGGAGTCGACCATAATGAAGCAGACTCCCAAGCAGCCCAAGCTGCAGAGTTAGACAGAGATAGAGACAAAGAGAGAGAGTTATAGACAGTGAGAGAGAGAGAGACAGAGAGAAAGGTCTTCCTTCCGTTGGTTCACTCCCCTAATGGCTGCCACGGCTAGAGCTGCGCCGATCCAAAGCCAGGAGCCAGGTGCCTCCTCCCAGTCTCCCATGCAGGTGCAGGGACCACTTGGGCCATCCTCCACTGCCCTCCCGGCCACAGCAGAGAGCTGGACTGGAAGAGGAGCACCGGGACTAGTACCCAGGGCCTCAACCGGGACTAGAACCCAGGGTGCCGGCGCCACAGGCGGAGGATTAGCCAAGTGAGCCACAGCGCCGGCCTGAGTTACTTGTTTTT